CCCCCGGAATGTCCCCCCCCCCCCCTCCCACAAAAGAGGCCTGGCATCAGAGCGTATGCAAGCATATGTGCTCTTGTAAGCACCTGCAACTCCCGCTGCTCCCAATCCCTAACAGCAATCGTGCAACCAGGCAAGTCGCCCAATGTGCTAAACCGGGAAACCACAGAGAAAGGCTCACAGGACCAGATCCTCTACTCCGGAGGCGGTGACCTTCCCTCTCTGCCTCCCCAGCTCAGCCTAGGCATCGTCGACCAAAGGCAGAGACCGCAACAAAATCAGTAGCGTTTGGCCCAAGCAGATGAACCACCCAGGGCAACGCTACATTCACCCACCACATCAGTGATAATGTCCACTGCCGAGCGAGAAAAACAAAAGATTGTTTGGCCTTTCTCAGCCACAGATTACATTTTCATCTACTTTTTTTTTCTTACTCTACAATATGATGTAGGGCATGAGACTGAAATAAGTCAGCATGACTAAGTAAAAACTCTTTGTACTAACCCACTCATCTGCAAGCTATTCATGTGAAACAGAATAAATGACTACTGGCCGGCAATATCTGCACTGCAGGAACTTTGAATATGGAGGTGGTGAACAAATTACATGCTTCCACACAGAGAAAATAACACTTAAGGTACAACAACACTTCAGCATTTTCAACTAAATTCAACTCGTATGACTTCAGTATTAGCAAATGCTTCCATTTGGTAATGCAGCAACTTCCTTGTTCTATTCTTTTACTTCTAGAAATCTTTCAGACTCCTTCCTCCTCTCTGGCTCTCTCAGTTTTACTTATTTTCAAGGCAATCATCACCTCTGTCTGAAAAGAGGCTACTCTGTTCCAGTTTTACCTGGTTCCCCTGAAAGGGCAACACCTCTATGTTTCATGTCTTTAGCAAGGACAAGAGATGTGATGCCCTTTGAGACTACAATTATCGTCCGCTATGGCCCAACAGATGTGCCTCTGCAGAACATTAATCAACATACTAAAATCAACACCCTCCCTAGTGTTTTCATAGAAAAGAGATAGCTCTCTATCGCTATGAAATCCTCAATTTCCTATTTCCATAATTTTTCCCTGGCATAAGTCATGTATACATTGCAGGTACTTCGGTCACTATGACCTTTATGCAGCATCATCACAGGCGACACGCAACTGCAAAGCTGAAAAACAGAGGGCTCTCTGATCAAAGGCTTTTAGTTATTTTCCAGAAATGCCTTTTTATTTAAGAAATCTGCTTTATAAGTTGTTCTGACAAATGTCACGGCTGGAGAAATTCTTCCTCTAAGGGAAGATTTATGATCTATAGGATAGTTTTCTTGCTCTTTATTTTTCAGGAGACTGGATTCTTCAAATACAAACTGCTCTTTGATTTGTGTGTCTGCACGTTCAGCACAAAGAAATGAAATCCAAGACTGGGAAAAAATGACAACACTTTTTATCTACAGGTAACTTTTTGGGACAGAAATATCATCTGCTGTGATCAACTGGAAGGTGCTGAGGTACTAGCAAAGAACGATGCGGTAGGAACAGGATTTCCCACAGAGAAAATGACACACATTCTGTCCTTCACACTGGCCACCACGTTGGCAGACACATCAATACCCCAGCAGATGCTTTTGAACAGGGACTGTCGTAACACCGCACACAGAACCTTGCCCTTCATGGGAGGATTTCAACTAAGGAACATCCATCTCTTAAGAGGCCAGGGTACCAGCTGAAGTGTCGCAGGACGTAGCCCAGAAGCAATTGTAAGGATAACCTAGTTCAGCACTTGTCACTTCCGAATGGCAAACCAGAAATGAGAATATAACTCTCCTTCCTTGGAGAAGACTCCAAGGAACCAGCAGGAACCAAAACCTTTGAGGCAGCTTCGTTTTCCTCTGGCTGGGTTAGAAATGCTGAGGTATGTAACGGGCTCAGTTTGGCCGAGGGCCACAACACAGGTCTTCTGAACTTACACTGGTGATGACTGAGGCCACTGGCACTTTCATAGAATCACAGAATCATTATGGTTGGAAGAGACCTCAAAGATCATCAAGTCCAACCGTATACCCGATGCCACCATGCCCACTAAACCCACTAAACCACGTCTTGAAGCACCACATCTAAACATTTTTTGAACGCCTCCAGGGATGGTGACTCCACCCCCTCCCTGGGGAGCCCGTTCCAATGCCTAACGACTCTTACAGTGAAGAAATTCTTCCTGATATCCAACCTGAACCTCCCCTGGCACAACTTGAGACCGTTTCCTCTTGTCCTATCGCTAGTTACCAGGGAGAAGAGACCGACCCCCACCTGGCTACCCCTTCCTTTCAGGTCGTTGTAGAGGGCGATCAGGTCTCCCCTCAGCCTCCTCTTCGCCAGACCAAACCCCCCCAGCTCCCTCAGCTGCTTTCAAGCGGGGTTTCAAGAGAATAAGCTTAGTCAGCCTGGAAGGGACAAAGACAACTACAAAATCTGAGCAAGAACGGTCAATAAGGTCTCGTTTACAAGAAAGCCTCTGAATAACCTTTGTGCTCAAAGTTAAAAGGCCGCTTGAGTTCTTTACTGAATCAGGACTGAACACCAAAAATATCAGGCTTGGAGAGGGATGAGAGGTTGTCAGTTGACTTCATTGGGATATGGTACCACCTTTTGCAAGCTGCTTTTTTATTCACTAATGCACTGATACACCTGAAAAGAAGACGAGGGCTACACTGGAAAACATTTAAATGCCTTCTGATCTTCAGGAATCAGCAGCAACCTGCAGTCTCTCCCTCTGAAATGGACCTGATGCTGATACCCAGTAGAAATTTTCTACTGAGCGAGAACGGTGAGCCATGCAAGGTCTGGCGACGGGAGGAGTGTGTTGCTGAGGAATGCAGAATATGATAAAGAAGAACCAAAACAGTAAGATAAGAAGAAGACACTGATCTCCAAACTGGTCTCGGACGGTTGGGGTCCAGCTTATGAAATTGCATCCTTCAGATGAACTTAGCTCATTAATCTCATTATAATGCTAAAAACCACACCCCTAGGAGCAGATTTTAGATGCAAATTTAGGACCATCTTAGTGTAATGAAGTAATTAGGTAACGAGACATGGGCAGATGATTTTTTGTCAGTGTGATCATGGGTAACCAATCATTTACTTTTGGGTAGTTTCTTTGTTTCTCTCTCCTATACCAGCTGCCACCCAAATTTTCCAGGGTGTGCTGGCTCTGTGGGACTACCGCCTAGCACCCACCTCTGCACAGACACGGAATGAAATACCTCTGCTCTGCACGTGTGTCGGCGTGTTGCACAGCGGGTGAAGGAGCCCCGCTTTGGGGACAACAATGCCACAGCTGTCTGGAACTCTAGGTGCCGTTTTTTTGTCACCTGCCACTATTTTGACTGCCAATTCTCAAACTGCCCAGCCACCCAACTCAAACTAAGGGCTTTCAGCACTTGTAAATCCCCAAAGAGTTTTCCGCTCTCTTTGTGGTTCACATATAAAAACTCAGAAAAATACTAGTCTTGCCATTGAAGGATGATGCTTTAGGTAATGGGATACTCTCTTCTGAAGTCAGATAGCTGCTGCTGAATTACAGTTAGCCCCATAAGTATATGGAACACTTTAAATCATCAAGGTCTGTACTTTAGATAGTTGAGATTAAGTAATTTTGAACAATATGTGTGACAAATACAAAAAGTCTTATTTGGTGACTTACAGTTTTAAAATGCCCAAGACAACATTCAAAAGTAATCTGATGCTCACAGCCTCTACGCTTTTTGGTTAGGCTGAATACCGTTATTACTAGTAAACAGTATTATTTTAAAAAAAAATCTTTACACAATCCAATTGAAGAGAAATCTATGATGTTTTAATATTTGGTTTGTATTTCTTCTCCCACTTGTTTTCCCAACTCAGTATTTTTTTTAAAAATCAAAGTATCATTTGCTGATACAAAAGGTATTGTAGCATATTTCCAATGTATACAGTATTTAAGTCCAGGTAAAAGTAAATCAGCTATAAATTAGTGTATTTCACATATAAAAATGCTCTTTATGTTTACATTTTAGGCCACAAACTAGTCTCAAACTGTTTAAAAGTAGGCACTTAAAACAACCTGCACTTGGCCAAAAATAATAGCCATCATTTTTTGGCTGGTGAGTAACGCTGACAGCACTCCTCTTTCTAACACGCTTATCAGACCAATATGCACAGCTGATCTTTGGGTATTGTCAGCCTGAAGTAGAAACTGAAAATAGCTTCAGTCTTCCTTGTTCTTCCTCATTCCCCTCATTTCAAGGAAAGGCGTAACACATACTTGAAGACACCAGTTGGACTCTTCCACCAGAATAAGCCCCAGCAGCTGCCTCTTGTGCTTCCGAAACAGCTTGTGGCACCATTTACACCTTCTTACAGGGGAAGCCCCGCACTCCCAGGTGCTGTCAGGGGCTGCCGCTGAAGCTAAGCACCGATGCTAAGCACTGCTCCTCAGGCACTAACTTACAGCAACTCTTTCTTTGATCATGCGTTGCTTAATCATGAAACGTGATGGTCCGGAGTGGACACTATTCTTCGTCCTGAGCCACAGCAACCTTCCCAGGTTATTTCAACACCTGGCCGTATGTGTTGATGCAGACCTCATCCTATTTGTCCCTGAGTCAATAATATTTGTCCCAACGGTGCTGGCTGTTTCAACAGGCAGTTAATATCCGTGTGAAGCCACGTAATTATTTCCCTGAATATCCAGGGTATGGAGGGGGTGGGGGATACTGTATGGAAGTCTGTGGGGTTGGAGTGTAAGGTGGAGGTAGGTCAGCTGGGTACTCCATTTCGTATTCGTAACTGTAGGGTGGTGGAGCCACTGAAACGGGAGAAAAAAGAAGACATGGTTAAAAAGTTTTTCAGATGCAGGCCTCCAAGTATTTTCTAGTTGACACTCAGACTTCCATACAACAAATGTAAAGTCTCCTGGCAATGCACTCACTTTTTTTTTCAGACTGTCATTATACAGTCACTTTATGTCAATGCGAGTCCTCGCTTATTGCCCTTTCCTTCACTGCTCACTGACACGTTGTGCCGGTAACAGCGTTTGAGTGGCCACACGGCAGATGATACCAGGGTGATGAGGCAGAGCTAAACCTTTTCAGGGGAGGAAGGTTGGGATTTTATCAGATCCATTCCCTTCCACCCCCTTCAGCAGCAACATGGATTTATGTTGTCTCAAAATGACGAGGTAGTCAGGGTTTTTGCTGATCTCCACAGACCTCTCAAACACCCTCTGGATCCCCAGGAGATACCTGAGCTTTCATGCCATGCCAAGCCCAGCAGCATCACACTGCCCAGGGCAAACGCCAGACATCTCCCAGGGCGTTCCCAGGGCTCCGGCTGAGGAATAACAAAGTTTTCGCCTTGTTCACCCCAACAGGGACATCTGAGGAGAGCCCAGTGTTTGTAAACTGGGTCAGGCACTTAGGAAACAAAAAAACCCATTCATAAACAGCTGAAAGCATTTTCTCAACTATTTCTACTAACCTTAGAGAAGAAGGATGAGTTCAGTGATCAAAAAGACAGTAAATGCTGCTGAATGACAGCATGGTAGGAACTGAAAGCTCCATATCAAGACCCCATTAGAGTAGTCTCCACAAATTTTAAGGTCCAGAGTCTGCTCATGTCTCTGTCTATGTCACCACGGATGCCCTCCTGTCCCTCCCCAGATGTCTCCGCAGACTGGCAGTGAAATAGCACTTGAATAGAGAGGGAATGGAAACCCAGGATGTTTGTGATGGGGGAAGAGACTCAAATCCCAGTGTGCCATGAAAAGCACTCCCCGCTCTCTGAAAAAGCAGCTGTCGCTGTTGCTGAGGCCAAAGGGCGGGCATCCCCTCGCCCACCGTTCCTGTCCAAAACAGGCCATGGCAGGAGAAGGGCTGGTCGCAAACCTGGTGGCCAAAACCAGGTCACTCATTCCTCCAGAAGTGTTCATGAGAGCGGGGAACACAGAAATAATCCGAGAGCTTCCCTATCCTCCAAAAAATGCTGCTGCTGAGAGGAAGAACTGCTGGAACTAACGTTTGCACCGGGAACCGGGAGCGTGCAGAGTCAAACTGCCTGGAGGTGGAGAGAGAGGGGTGAGTCATTGCAGGAGCAGACTTGGGGAGGAAAAGGCTACAGCCCTGGAGTCTTCATTTAGCTCTTGTTTTTACAGCTTCCACTGACTATTAGATTCTGAAGTAGCTCTTCAGCAATTCACGGTTGAGAATATTGCAGTTTTCTTTCATTACTCATCTCTCTATGCAAAACAATGTTGCGATGATAAGGATGATTATAGATGATTTTAGTTTAACTGGAAAGTAAGAACATGAGGGAGAAAACAGACACTGAGAGCAGTGAATGTGATAAAGGAACACACAATAAATATTGCATAGCTTGCCTACAAGTATACCTCATGCACCTGGGGCTCGCTGCAACCTTTGCAACAGGAGGGAATATAAAGGCAGGGGATCTCCAAGAGTGGGTTGAGGGGACTTCATCCATGAAACAGCGTTGCCTTTTATTACAGTGAATTCTCAAGTTATCCCAAGGCAATCGCTCCTGGATTTGTAATTAACAACGTCACTGAAGCAGAGACATAGCTGCGTTGCATAAACACCATTCTGCTGCTTCCAGGGTCAGCTCTGCTCTTCAACAACGTGGCCACTTTCACGCGGTGGGGCGTCCAGACAAGTGAGCCTTGCAGATCCCAGCCGGCTCGATGCAGATCCACCTTTGGTGCTCCTGTACCCAGCTCCTAGACCGGTGTGAGTCCACAAGCGAGGTGCAGAGAGCGGCTCTGCGCAGAGCTAGCTCAGGTACAGCCCTGGGTACCTGTTCCCACTCACTATGGGCACAACTGCACTGGAGCAGACCCATGGAGGGTCCCTACTGTCCCCCGGGCTGCCCCAGAGCCTGGGACAGTTTGTAAGCTCAGTGCCAGACCTGACTTAGGCTCTGTGCCTCCCCTGGTGCTGTCCTGCACCTAAAAAACCATGACACCAAAACGTTAACCCGCAGACAAGCCTGCACTGAGCACGTCCAACACTCTTGGCTAACTCTGACCACGGCACAACGGGCATCTCTGCACCACGCGCCAAGTTCCCATCAGTTCAGGCATGGTGCCAGGCGGATGCAGAGAGCCACCCCGGATCCAGCACCGCACGCCAGCCAGCAGTCCTTCCTGGGACACACAGCAGAGAACACCCTGCAAAGATGCCCGTGTGCCTTTGTAGAAATCATGTGGGATCCTGCAGCTCCCAGCAGGGCTTGTGAGCTCTGGCCGAGTACCAGTCAGCTCGGGCTGCGTCAGCCTCCACGTGGCACCACTCAAAGCCTTTGCGCTATGACCCACAGACCTTATTGTCCAGGTTTTCCCCTCTCGGTGGGATGCTGGGCCCCCATTATATCAGACAATGAAAGGGAGCTGACTGCGGGTGAACACGAGCAAATACAAGAACCAGAACACAAAAGAAGAACAACTGATCCATTGCCAGAGAGCCTCTGGGACAGGGAGAAGGTCCATCCCGCACAACGCAGCACCGCCTCGAGCGAGGTCTCAACATGCTAGTGCAGGCATGGCAAGCCATCCGGCTGTGTCAGCAGGGCACCTGGCACCTCTCGTTAGCTCACCGAGTCGCCCTATAAATTCGCCGAGGCAGAGTGCTGCGCTGGCGAACACTGCGCACGCTTGCGTTTCTCGGCAGGGAGTCGTGCCGTTCCTCCCTGGACTCTATCCACATCCCCCATTTAGTGCGGAGCCGCAGCTATCCGGAGACGCGCTCCTACCATGGCCACCCACACCCTCGCGGGGGGCTCGTTTGCCTTCCTTACCTGGGTACGTGCTGATGGCACTGACGTGCGCAGTTCGGATGACCCCCACTCGAGTCCCACGGTTGTTCTTCATGCACATGCAGATACAGATGGCAATCCCGGCAATCACTCCCATTATAAATACTATACCGAAAACAATTCCAGCTATCGCCGTGCCTCTGCAAGGGGAATGGAAACATGCAGTTAGTCTCAGCCAAATAATGTTTACGAACCAAAATTCTTTTCTCAGGAGCGGCCCCCATTTGAGAGAAAAAGTGCATACAGATTACTGAAAACGCTGTAAATTTTGATCCGTCAGGGTATCTGAAGAGAAGAAATGAAGTATCTCCGAGACCAAAATGAGACAGTCTTTCAAAGTCGTCTTTGCAATCGTGCCAGATCACTCTGCTGATTTACCATACATTAAATCCTCCTATTCCAGGGCCATCTGAATTGAAGAACTTTTAAATATTACGAAGAATAATTTCTTCCCTCTCCCCTCACCACACAAGCCTTTTTTTTTTTTTTTTCCCTAAAGGCGTTGGTATGATTTCCTTTTGTAAAGGAAGAGTATGTTATCCCCAGTAATATATTCCAGCAGCATCCCAAAGTGCCTGCATGCTGTGCTTCCAGAGGAATGGTTTTGTCATTGTTTTATCTCAGGTCAAACAGCCCTTTTGCTGTGCTTCTGAGCCCACAGATTAAGGAGAGCCTCCTCTGCTTGAGGATGAGCAGCGAGAAGCGAAGCAAATGCCCACTCTTTCACACAGCTGCTCCTGCAGCCAGCACAACTATTTGAGGCTTAAGTGATTTCTTTAAAAATGGTCCAGAGGAAAGAATTTAGCTGAGCCCCTGAAGTAATGAATCAGATTTTCCTTGAAATTATATAGAGAAAGGAAAGGAAGCCGTATTGCACTGACACACAGGAGAAAAAAACCTCACCAAGAGGCACTGAAGAGCTCCCCAGAATATTGAGGGCACAATCAGCCTTTCTGATGAACCCTAGTTCACTCAGGTTCGCTGTCAGGCACAGGCAGCGAAGCATATGTTATAGGAAAGATGGTATTTATAGCCTGCTCTTTTATGAAAAAAAAATGCCAGTGACTTGCCAGAAATATTCTTACTCTGTGCATCTCTTCATCTGCCAGCAAAGATTTCAAATCGCAACCTTGCTGGCAACTTTTTTACTGGACATTTTAATCAATCTAAACTGATAGTTTGTCAACGTGACGAAGCTCCACTAGGAATTATTGCAATGTAGAGAATAAAACAGGCACTGCGATACTACAAAGACAAATATTAAAAGGAGTCTAAACCATAGTTTAGCTTCCCCATGCAAGCGTGGGAACACATAGCAGCCCTGATTTTCAAAATGCTGATAGCCTATTTGTTTCCAAAAAGTCAGCAAGTCAGGATGGACTCAATATTTGAAAAATCAGACCACCTATTAGGAACCTAAATATGAATTTAAGAGCTTGTTTTTAGGCCCCAGCTCTTCAGGATCTTGGCCAAGATTTGCAGTACAGCTACTGAATCGTAGAGCATAAGTAAACACAGACCATTTGCTGTCCTACTAAAACACCCTGCCAGGGAGCTGAATTGCTCTCTGCTGTTACGTAGCGATGAATGAAGGGTGTGCAGGGAGAGTAAACCTGTTAATATTTTGCAGGATATATAAAGGCCTAATTTACAAACCCCTAACTCATGGCAGCAAGCACCTGGTTGTAAAACCAGTAGGTCAAAACACTGATGGGATCAAGTGCTTTGGTATTAACCACCACGAGTAACTGAGAAACACCTCCCCACCCCCTCCGCAACCCCGACAGTTTGCATCTAACAAAAAGAAATTCTGATGCTCCTGGAAGACACAACCACGAGACCTTCAGTTTTCCCACCCTGCTCTCTCTGGGAACGTTATCACCACCTTGAGAGAAACAGCCGTATGAGGAAAGAGTTGGATTCAGGAGACACTTTAACACAATACTCTCTTCCTTCCAGAAAGTTTTCTTATCACAATTAAAAAAATCAGGCACCATGCCCAGTATCCCTATATAAATAACAGGGAATCGCTACTGCTTTTGCTCCATCCGCTCAGTGGATGACCCGC